TTGATTGATTTATTTATTTATTTATTGTTCTGTCTGTTTTTATACGGGCTTACGTTCACCCTTCACCTTTATTTGTGCTCTCCCACAGCCCGAGTTCTACCAGGTCTGCCACACCAAAAAGGACTACGAAGAGATCGGGCCGAGCATCTGTCGCCACAACCCCGTGTTTGGAGTCATGTCTTAACTCTGGACCTCCGAAAAGTGTAACAGCGGAGGGTGGGGGCTGCATTAAAGGGAGGGGCGCGGGCGGGGGGGTTATGTTGTGTAAAGGACAGGCTCAGGAGGTGGAGGACGGCGGTGCTTCTTGTGCTTCTTTGATTACTTGTTCAGCTATGGTGGGACGAGAAGGCGATCCAGAATCTAAAAAGAAAAAAAAAGAGACCAGACCAAACGCAGACCGGCTGGAAAATTTATTGTGAATGTTCCTTTATTCTTTCTTCCTTTCTGTTATTTTTTTTTTTGTCTTTAATTTCAAAATGAGGGAAAAAGGTTTGTAAGCCAAAACAATTTTAAGAACATTTCTGGATTTGTTGAGCAACATGCAGTGAGTGATAAAGACGATAAAGATGATGATGATGATGATAAAAGATGGTGTTGGTGGAGGTTTAGGATGACGACAAAAGAATTGATAGTAATTTCCTGGAACCAGAACATATTATTTATGTTTATAAAACCTGAGGTCATTGACAAGTTTAGAACATATTATTGTCTCCTTTTTATTTTCTGCATTTTCTTTCCAAAGTCACATGCACATGTCTGTGTATCACGGTAAGAGCTTGTTTATATTTCATACAAAAGTTTTTTATATGTAAAACTTGGGGAAATCAGGGGTAAAAAAAAAAAAGAAAAAAATTCCTGGATACCAGTGTGAGCGAGAGACTGTTTTAACCCACGATGCAGCTTTGATACGCAGTATTTTCTCCAGTTTGAGTACAACAGGTGCTCTGCTGTTATTCCCCCACATGTGTCATTGCTGTCTGCCCTTTAACTCTTCATACATTTAATACACTTCTGCTTTTCACTTCAGACAATGTCAGGAATCCACCTCTGTGACGCAGTGCAAGAAAAGAGAGAGGACTTTTATTGAGGTTATAAAGATAAAACTGAACAAGAACGACTGTCAGACCAGTATTGTTAGACTAGAAGTTTTTTTTATTATTAAATACCAAAATATTAAAAGAATGGGATTTGTGTATTTAATGCCTTGCAACATTCCAATAAAGGCTCAAATTTGTTTCTAAGTACTGGAGGCTTGGTCCTTACTTCTTACTTTATTTAGGTTTGTTTCTTCTTTTGTTTTATTTAGATTCCCACTAGCTACTGTACTGACTCAGATTACAGAAAATACACGAGTACACATCCATCAAATTCATACTCACAAGAAGCCTCGATGCATAACACAGTTACTGAGACACACAGCAACCGACACCAGAGCCTCTAATACAAACAATAGCTCTGAAATAATTACATCTCTTACGTAATTGAGGAAAGAAAGCATTTTGTGACTCATCCACTAAATCACAACTCAACGTGGGACAGAAACGCTCTCTACATCAGCAACACGAAGTGTAAACTAATCTTTACTGTGTGTGAGAACATGTTGTATTACTTTCTGAAATAAAATAAAAACATTGGTACTAAATGAATGCCCCCATTGCTTGATAATGAACTCTGTATTAAACTAGTTTTACATGGTGGAAACAGAAAACAACCTCAATGTGTCTTTCTGAAAGAAATCATAGGTTACTCAAATATTTCTGGGGTTTTAGTTATAATATTTGTAATAATGCAGAATAATGCAACCTGCAATAACAGCCAAACAATGAATTGTTATAATTAATAAAATAATAAATTGTCCAAAGGTTACTCAGCTATCAGGACTGTAGACGGGTTTTAGAAATACTGAGGTCATGAGTCCAGATTCCTTCTGTCCAAACACACTAGACTCTATTTCATAATTTCTCTGTTCAATTATATTTCCTGTAAATTTTCCCAGTTGAAAAAAAAATGTAAATGGTATTCGGCCTGTGCTGACTATTAATAATGCAGTTCCTACTGTGAACTCTAGGTGTCACCATATTGGGAATATCAGGCACAGGAAGCGTGCTGCGCCCAGCTCATTGATGTGAAGAGTCCCAGGGTGAAAGCTGTTAATCTCAGCTGAACATGAGCACTTAATCACCGGGAGTTCGGAGCTTCCCTGTGAGAAACTGATGCCCGATCTGTTGGGTTTAATCCACTCAGGTCAAACAGGGGTTTCTGCTATAGTGCACAGTGGCTCAGTGGGAAGGCTCTGTTCCATTTAGTGTAGCAATCATTGGTAACACTTAAGTTTACCCTACTGTTTCATGTCAAAATGTCTGCTGTGAAAAAGGTTTCTTCCATATTGGCAATGCTAAAGTTGGATGGTGCAACATGAGTACTAATATTAATTGCTTAAAGGAGGTAATTTAGATTGGCAAAGACCCGAAAAGCCCAATTAAAACTCAAAGATACTGTTGGCAGCGAACTAAAATGAGCTGGTACATAGACACGCTCATTAGCTCAGGCATATATTAATGTGGGATGAGGATTTGAAGTCATGCGTGGTTATCAAAAGCTCAAACTGGCTGGACCTCGAGCAGAAAATCACACATATGAACAGTAAAATCCACTTCTCCGCTGTCTTACTCTCCTGCTTTTTAGGACAGCACACACAAGAAAAAATGTACCCATAGGCAAGAAAATCATTTCATTGGAGAAACTCAGGTCTTCCAGAGTCTTCCCTCTAGGTGGTCTTGACCATAACTTCACGGTGAAGGCCAAATTCCCTCACATTCCCCCTGCGTCCCTGAACCTCTGTCCACTGGGCAGGAGTGCTCCCCTGCATTGCAGAGGAGTGGAAGCAGGCTGAGTGCTTCCAGGGAATGAGCTGCCACCACCACCACAGCTGTCTGCACACGAGCTAGCGAGGGCGATGATGAAAAGACTTGTTGAAGAGCTCTTACCGCTGGAGTCCTCTGGGGGACTTTGACCCCAGCTCCCTGCTTTCTGCCAGAGATGGAGCTCAGAGAGGTGAAACTGATGGAAGAGGGAGTGTGTTTCTCCTCGAGAGCAGCTATCCTACCGTGTGTGATGCCACAGTGTCACAGTCATGACGTGGAAACATCACGCCATTAATTTCAAGCTTGTCGTGTGAGAGTAAAGCTGATCTGAAGGAAGCCCAACAGACAGCTTCTGGTCAGCAGATGGTACAGAGCGGTTTCTTGGGCCCACATTTCTAATCAAACACCACGTATGTATGTAACATGCTCAACCGCCCTAAATACATTTTAAAGCTGCACTAATGAGTATTTTATATTGAATACTAATGGCTCGCATGACAATGTGTAGTTCCCCTCAGCTCTACAGAGCCTTTTAGCTTCTTTTAGCTCATTTTTTTAGGTTTTACCGCCCGCAACTTTAACTGTTTTGGTTCAGTCTCACCACTCAAATAACCTCGTAGGTTTATAAGAGCTGCTTTTAGCAAAAAGAGCTTTAATAAACCCAATGCACACTACTCGCCCAGCTCCAAATGGCTGACAAAGTTAGCAATTAGCTAGTGAACATAGTGGAGTGTTTAACAACCAAACAGGAAGGAGGAGAAAACAGAGCTAAAATGACAGATAATATTGGACCTAAATTCACCAGCGAGCCAGAAACAACTCCAAATGAATGCTAACGTTCCTCCATGTCTCCTGGGTGTGTAACTGGTTGCTAACATGTTTTTGTGTATTTCTGCCCCAAGTGGCCAAAACAACTGATTACAGTAACTACAAGACATTTGTGTAAAATGAGTGATTTGGATGAATTATGAGCAGATTATTTCCTGTTGAGGGAACTTCTTATACAATTCTCTGTGTGATTACTTTACATGTGTTTTCCTTCACATAAGTCAACCAGGTGCTGAGATATCAACCTACTTTTCTAACACCCCTTAAAATCAAGAAGGCCTCAGGACCCCCCTTGGAGCTTTGGTTTTTGGGGACACTTTCCATTTTTAAACACGTTTAAAAATTATTTTTGTTGCAGTGTGTTAGAAAAAACTCCTAACAAGCACACTTTAATGAGTTACAGCATAGCATACACATTTATCATCATACCAACCTTACAACTAAACACAGAGAGTTGGTAAAAAATACTGACAGCTAGAAAAAGTGACACCGTCTTGGTGGAAACAAAACCACTTCTGGAGTTTCAGGATTATATTATTAAATGTCAGTACAGAGTAAAATAAAGAGCTGTAACATGGAGCACATTGTTGGAAAATGTCACATAAATATTCTCTCTGAACTCTCGCCTTTAAAGTAGTGATGGCATGTTGAATCTGGGCTGGTTAGAGGTGGCGACGCCAACAGATTGGTGTGTGAGGAGAGAAGACAGATAGAAGCAGACGCAGAACAATATTGCAGTTTATGAAACAGGAATCATTGCGGGGAGCAGCACAGTGGAAGAACTTTCCCCTCACAGGTCTGTAACCCTGCTGCTCCTTTCTGTGCAGACTTGTATGTTTCCTCCCGCAGCTCAGAGCCATGCGGTTCGGTGAATCGGAGTATCTCTAAATTGCCTGTAGGTGTGAGAGGCAGTCTGTCTATATGTGTTGGCCTGTGATAGACTGGCGACCTGCCCAGTGTGTCTCACCCAAGGACTGCTGGGATAGGCTCCCCTCCTCCTGTGGCACTGCATGGAGACGCAGGTATAGACAGATGCTGAACGGATGACAGAACACCTTTGGGTAACCCTGCAGTGTGTCTGCCAATTACCATAAATTACATTTTCAATAAGACTGCATATATAATTCACATTTTTCTTTCTGTGAGCAGAATGTTCATGTTCACTGGATATTGGCAACTCTCATCAAGGAAGGGTAGTTTTTTTTGCTGCCTTTCATAATGCACATTTTAAAAGTACACACATTCTTTACTCAAGTAAAAGTAAAAGGCTCTGAAGTGTACTCAAAGTATAAAAGTAAAAAGTACTCTCATGATTCCTCTCAAGGACATTTTCTATTGGTTTTCGGCGTTTTTGTGATGTTACACCCATCATGTGTGATGTGCTCCGATCTTAATGTTGGGAAGGCAATGAATAGAGAAGAAGAATAAACAAGATATACAAGAATAAAATAAAATAAAACTAAAACTAAAATTCTATAATTCCCCTCAAATACATTAAAACTGAAGAATAAATAGCCTATTTTGAATTGAGTGTAAAAGCAGAAAGATAAATACTCAAGTGAAGTACAGATACCTGAAGAAAGCTGATAATACTTACAGTAGTAGAATAATATTTGTACCTTGTCACTTCCCACCATTGCATACTTTTGTAAAACAAATGCCAGAATCTCATCAAACTCAATTTGGACTTAGTTGCTGTTAGTTACTGGGTTGTTCGCTTTGTAGGGCCAATTTTAGCTACGTTTATGAATCTATGGTAAACTTTTGCACAACTGGTTGTTTATGAGACTCCAGATCCTTGTTGTATATGTCGAATTTCAAGTTGTCCCTCTGAGACGGTGTGGTGGCAGTCAGGCTAACTAAAACCCCAGACCACAAACATACACAATGAGGAGAAAAGGGGGAAATACTGGTATATTGCAAAGTGTAGCAACACTCAAGAGCAGCAACAGTCAGATTGATGCACAGTAAAACTACAGTGTGCTTTAAAACAGCTCTACAGAGACAAATATATACTGTATATGCTCTGCTGGCTGAATGGGGGAGAAATATCTTGTGGAAAGTTAATGTATTCATCACATTTGGGCGTAATATTCACATGTTTATATACTTTTGGTGATCTATAACACAGTTGTCCCTGTTAAATCACCATTAGGCTTTTCAGTTTCTCTTGTATTTGTGGTGCTTGGAGATCTGTTTTTAAAGTCTGTAACATTTTGATCTCCACAGTAGGAATGACAGATTAACTTGAAGGCCTCTTCTTAATGGAGGTACGAGTGTCGCCCCCATGCAGGGAGTCGCTTCTTACTGAAACTAGTCAAACAATGCAGCACAACACCAGGTGGAAATCTGCATTTAAATATTGTTATCCTCCTGACAGGAAGTCAATTTGGGAAAAAAAGCTGGCACACGGGCAACTTTTTCCGCGTGACATTGTTTTCAGCATGCAAGGACGAATCAAGGTTCTGACATCCACATTTAACTTGACAGATTTTTTGTTTACAATTTGATTTCGTAAGTGCTCCGAAATCAATTCTTGTGTGCACAAATAT